ATGTCTTGATCTCGAGCAGCGGGTTTCATGGGGCTCCTCAGGATTATGATGCCGCCCAAGTTGCAGCTGCTGGCGGTGGTGGCCTTCGCGGTGGCGATGCTCTTCTTGGAGAACCAGATCCAGAAGCTGGAGGAGTCCCGGGCGAAGCTAGGTGAGGCGCTGGTCGAGCGGGTGGGCATGGCCGGGCATAGCAAGTGGGCGTCCGCAGGGCTCTCGGAGGGTCCCGGGAGCTGGGACCAAGGCACGTCGAGCTCCCACCACCAGGGAGGGAAGCAGAGTGACGGGCTGCACGCTCGAGGTCTCCGGCCAGAGGGCTGCCCCGTCGGCCCTCCACGGAGAGAGGGGACTCAAGTCTGCATGGGGCTGGTGCTGCTGGAGAAAATGAACGCTCATCCTCCCGGAGAGCCCCAGCTCTGTGCGGCAATGGGGACTGGAATTTGAATGAGGATCGTGTGGGGATGATGGTCGTCGGGAGGTTCGTCGAGGGAGATGGGCAGTAATGGACGGAGACTCCGGGAACGATGGGGAAGAAAAGCCGCTCACTGTGCAGCGAGTGGCATGCCTGAGCTGAGGGCAGCAAGGGACCTTAGAGCTGACTGTCTAGGTAGACTGGCCATGTGGGACAGCGGAGCAGATGAAAAGCTCGGACGGTACCGTTACGAGGCGTCTGGGGGACTGAAGTTCTTTCTGAGTGGCGCTACATTGCTTGATTTGGGCTTCAGAAGAGTCAGGTCGTGAGTGTAGGTTGATTGCTTGTACGAGCGGGCATCGTTGAAGGTTCGGAATTGCAGCGTTTACCTTGTGGAAGGAATAGAGTGGGGAAAGCTAACCATATGGGTGTCTTAAAGCGTTCTGTCAGTGCTGGAACGGGTAAAGATGCTTGAAAAACACTAAACTGGAGTGTGAAGTCGTGCAGTAGCAGACGAAAGCGCGGATAGCCCGTGTTTCCGGATAGTGGGGAACTTTGGAATTTGGAAGTGCTCTGGAAACAGGGAGACTTAATGACTGGCGCGTTTTGATTTACAAATGTACATGGCACTTAAAAATCAGCTCAAGAGTTGTAATTTGAATATGGGAAGCGGGTTTTGCATACACTTTCATCTAGCCAGCTTCTTAAATACGATTTAAAGTTACCTTGAGGAACAGCTAGCTGTAAGTGGGAGTGTGAATTTTTAATAAAAGCACCAGAAAATAATTTAAATTTTAGAGGTAGTCGCTATTTGCAAGTTTTGGTAGATTTTACAAAAGCCTTTAAAGAATAGTGTTATCAAAGAAAGTTAAATACGTTTGGTTGGTGTACAGCTAAGTTTGAAAGAGGAGCCGAAGCTTCCAGAGTGAAATGTGAAGAGCTATTGAATTTATTTACTCTAATTTAAAAAAGATTCTGTATGCTAAAAGTTATTCACCTTGCATATTAAAGGTTAAACCATTTACGTTTGCATTTCATATGGCTCCGTCCCCACAGCATTTACAGTCAAAGTCTGGCCTCAGTCAGGATCCAGTTTTACAGGAAGATAAGTGACTCATCTTACAATAAGTTAAAAGTTAGTTAAAACCAGAATTTGTATTTATTCTTTTTTGTATTGTTTCTCGGAACTCTCTTGATATACTTTCTTAGAAACGCTACAGATTTTCCTCCTTGCCTAACATTCTTTCTGCTGTGCTTGCCTGTTGTTTCTATGTGCCACCTGGATTATTTTGGAAGCAAACTTACCTGAAGTTGTAGAATGCCACAGGTGGAGCACTGTGCTTCCTCATGATCTCTATGTATGACAAAAAAAAAAAAAATCCTCTGCCAGGAATAAAAAGTGTGCATCAAAATAGATAGCTATGCAGAAAACAGCAAATATCTACCAGAATAAGTAAGTCAGAGACATAATCCAGGACTGACCATGGGGGTCAGGCAGGCCTGTAATTCCAGCGCTCTAAAAGCTGATGCCAGAGGATGGTAGGTTCAAGTCTATGCTGTGCTGCTGCGCTGCACTACTCTGTTTTAGAGAAAGAAAAAGGACAGCTCTCAAATGTGAAGCTCTCAAATACAGCTCTCAAATGTGTATGACAGAGAGAGAAAGCATATGCCTTTATGTCAACTCATTAATCTTCTGTTTAGATTTTTTTTCCTCTTTTTATTTTTAAATGACACAGGCATGTGTCTATGGGTTGTCCATGCTGAACCTGAACTCCTGGCCTCTGATGTTCTTCCTCAGCCTTGAAGAATAACTGTAGATGCCCTCACTTTGCCTCCTTCCCACTCCCACAGGCTGAGTCTTGTTTTAAAGGCAGTACTGAAGAGACAGTGCACATTCTGGCTCCTTAGCAAAGAGAGACAAAAGGGTCAGGCTGTCACTAGACAACTTTCCTCTGTGATGTTCTTATTTACTCTACCAAGAACAGAGATATCTATCTTTCAGATACAGGATAATCCTTAAATTATATAATTTACCCAAGACTGTATTGATAGTAAGTGGCAGAGTCGGAATTGGAACTCAGGTATGTTTGATTCCTAGTCGAGGACTCCTGTAATTACACCAGGCAATTTCAGACTTTCTAGTGATATTGTACTACAATGGGGCTGTTTGAATAGCATTTATAAATTGTATTATCAATGCATGTATTGCTGAGAATGAATATCATTCTGAGAAAACTCAATTTCTGGCACAAAGGGATTGGCTTAATGTCTCGCCCCTTGTTTATATCCATGCAATGAACATAATTATATTACTCAATGAAATGGACCGAAATAGCTTGTTTCTGCTGTTGGAGAAGAAAATCTTTGGCTGTTTGCTGTAATTGTAAAACTGCAACATTAAAAAGCATTTTGTTTTTTTTTTTCATTTTGCTAATGAACATTTTGCCCTTAAAAGTAGTTTTATTGTTTGTTTTTCTTGCTGTAGAAGATTCCAAAGGATGGTAATGTCTGTTAATGACTGTAATGTGACTTGGTTAAAGCCAATAATATCTTGATGGTGAGATCTCTAATAAAGCAATAGGTATATTAAAAAATACAGTGTATTCACTGGTGTCTTAGGAAATTATTTAAATAGAAATTCCTAAAGCTCCCAATATTACAGTTTACTACTGTATAGGTTATTTTTTCCTTAAAGCAAATATTCCTACATCTTACTATATATTATTCTGCAGCTTGTTTTATTTAATATTATAAACCTCTTTCCATGTCAGTACACTGAAATCCGACACATTCTAATGACTGTTTAGTATTTCGAATTATGCATTACTAAATTGCTAAATTCTAATTTACTCCGTCAGTGGTAAGTAGTAATTGTGTCTCCACACCTCCCCTCCTTTTAAGGCTTCTTTTCTTGTTATTGTAAACAATGTTGGAATAAATCTTTAGGTGCCTCTCTTTATCCACTAATGTTATTTTTTTATTAGGGGGATGTCTGGATCAAAGAATACTTGTTACTTGCCAATTTCTATCCCCAAAGGGTACAGTAATCTCTATTGCCAGAAACTCAAGTGCTAGAAGTGCTGAGGTTTAAATGCTGCTGCTCCAAGGCTGTGAAATGACATGTTGTTAAACTATATTTCCTAAATTTTTCATTAGAAATCTTTACATCGTTTATTGCTTTTTACTTGTACTTGTTTATTGGAATAATTGGATACTTTTTTGTTGTTTGGGTTTTTAAATATTCAGGCAAATAATTTGTTCTTATTTCTGCTTTTTTCTAAGTCTGCATTTGTCTCTCAGCTGTGGTATATTTTGCTTGTACAGAAATGTTAATTTTACATAAATTTTATCACTTTAGGCAAATAGCATTCATGTTAAGACTTTCCTGAATCAAGGTGGTATATATTTCCTATACTTAATTAGAATAGTTTATAGTTTTTATTTGTCATTTGCTCTTTAAGTCATTTATTTATGTGCAGAGATTTATTATAATGTCTTTTGATGAATAACCATGTATGGCAAATATAGTAAATAACCTGTTTTTTCCATGTAAGTTCCTTTATTCATATGTTACAGTTTTTGTTCACTTAGCTCAGCTGGTTTTATACTCCAGTCTTTTTCACTTACCTGAAATTCTTTAGGCTTCAAGAACATATTCATACATAAACACACATCGAAATGTCTGAATTTAGTAAAACTTGTTGTGTAGTTCTCATCACATTTATAAAGAATGATATGACCCCCTGTACTGGTTAAAAAAAATAAAATCACAAATATTTAATACAGTTTGAGCAACCCTCGTCAGAACTTCTGAAAACAATGTGCTTCCAGGTCAAACTCTTGGGTGCTTATACGCTGCTTCCAGTAAACACTTACAGAATGGGGTTGCTTTCCAAATCCAAGCCCTTAAGATCAGCTTCAGGCTGGTACCTGAGGTACATATGAAGCAGTAATGAATTTTTGTGTTGAGTGGGTTCCATCTCTTAAGATACGTCTGTAAATGTTCCCAGGTCTGAGAATAGCCTGCCATTTGAAACATGGTTCTGGATTTGTGTGTCAGCCTGTAGATATTTCATGGTAAACGAAGTGAGTGTATTCTTTATAATAATGTTCTGTTGTGTGATATTTGTACACTATGTGAAGGTGTAATGTTCTGATTGATGTAATAAAAATCTGAACAACCAATAGCTAGGCAGGAGGTATAGGTGGAACTTCTGGGCAGAGAGAGAAAAGAGGAGGAGGAGGCGGAATCTAGGCATGTGTGTGTGAGAGAGATGTGAGGAGGCATAGAGGAAGCGTGCGGGTATGTGGCAGGATGAATATAAATGGGTTAATTTAAGTTAGAAGAGCTAATTAAAGACAAGCCTAAGCTAAGGCCAAGCTTTGCTAATCAGGAAGTTTTTGTGAGGTTATTTGGGAACTGGCTGGCGGGACAGAATGACTCATTACAGTGTATGATAACATTAGACTCATTGGTTATAGCTACAAGATAAGCGCCCTAGTTATGAAGAACTTTCTCTGGGAAGTTTCACTTGCAAGTTTCATTCTTAAAGATGCATACCTAATTTTTTGGCAAGATATGCTCAGGATGGTGCGGTTGTAGATTGCATACTTAATTTTCAATGAAAATCTGAGAGGATACGGAGTTCAAATGAAAATTAACCTAGCAGTGACTCAGAACTGTAGGTATTAGAGTATGCTGTTTATGAAAAGTAAAGCTGGGAATCTCAAGTGCATACTTG